CTTGTAGCTCTGAACATTGCAACTTGTATTTGACTGTCCTCCCACATTCTACTTTCCATCAGACAATGCCAGACAAAACTCTGTCACCTGTGTCTCAACTCATTCCAAGTCCCTTTCATGCCTGTGCTTGCTGACCTGCTTTCACTTCTGGTCAAGCAACACTCTGATGTTAAAATTCTCATCGGTGTTTAAAACTCCCTCCATGGTCTGGCCCTTCCCTAACTCTGACATCTCCACCCAACCCACGATCCTCTGAGATATCTGCACCGTCCGATTCGAGCCCAGGCAGTGTCCCTGATGTATGTTTCTCCGTCCCTGGTGGTTGGGGCTTCAATTGCCAAGGCTCTGGAATTCCCATCGTAAACTTCACCAACTCTTCACCCCTCATTTTTTTTTTTCAGCACATATGCGCACACCCACTCCACTCCCCACCTGCCCCCAAAGACTTCCTCAAAACCTACCTCTTTGACTTGGCCGATGATTGTCTGCCCCAAAACCACTTCAGGTCATTTGGATCAGAGATAGTAGGAACTGCAGATGCTGGAGAATCTGAGATAACAAGGTGCAGAGCTGGATGAACACAGCAGGCCAAGCAACATCAGAGGAGCAGGAAAGCTGACGTTTCTGAAGAAGGGTCTAGGCCCGAAACATCAGCTTTCCTGCTCCTCTGATACTGCTTGGCCTGCTGTGTTCATCCAGCTCTACACCTTGTTATATCAGGTCATTTGGTGACTAATTTTGCTTCATAACACTTTTGTGAAGTAATTTCGGAAGTTCTATTATTTCAAAGGCACTACATAAATATGTTGTTGTTGAACTAAATTAGAATGGCAGGCATCCCAAGTTTATTGCCTTTTTCATAGAATTCATAAAATCCCTACAGTGCAGATAGAGGCCATTTGGCCCATCATGTCTGCGCCAATCCTCCAACCCAGACCCATCCTGTCCCTGTATTTCCCATGGCTAACCCACCCAGCCTGCACATCCAAGGTCACTATGGGCAATTTAGCATGGCCAATCCACCTAACCTGCACGTTTTTGGACTGTGGGAGGAAACCAGAGCCCCCAACAGAACATACACAGACCCAGGGAGAGTGAGCAAGCTCCACACACAGGCACCCAATGCTAGAATTGAACCCGGGTCTCTGGCAGTGTGAGGCAGCAATGCTAACCACTGAGCTATCGTTTTCTCTAAAGTGAGCCCACAGCACCTTCTGAATTGGGTTATACTTGCCACATAAACAGCCAGTGATGAATTAGTACAAATATTTGATCCAATGTTATTGTACAAGGGTATGAACATGAGGGAGAAAATCAGTCATGAGGAGTAAATGTCTTGTGAAGTTTGAATCCATGACCACTTGTTGCTATGACTGTTGGACAGCAGACAGGCAAACTGTGGATGCTTGATTGAGAGCCCACTGGGCACCTTCCCGAGGGCAATGACAGAACCTACCGATTTGAAATCACTGCTCCACATGTTGCTTTATTTTCACCGCGATCTGAGAATCTAGGATGATCTACTGTCTGTGTCATTGACATGGATCTGAGAGAAATCCGAGAGCAGCGACAGAAACAGATATCCCTATGGGGAGAAATCCCAGCCAAGTCACTCGTGCAAGAGGAAGTTTTGCATTAATGTAGTGCCTTTTCCAATGTCTGTGTTACAAAGCACTTTGCAACCAATAAGGTCCTTTGTGAAATGGAGTGTCTGTTGCAATGTAGCAAACATAGATGCCAATGTGTGCACAGCAAGCTCCCACAAACAGTAATGAGGTAGCAGTCAAATAATTTATTTCTAGGAAATTAATTGAGGGATAAATATTGGCTTGAACACCAGGGAGAACCCTATTGCTCTTCAAAATCATGGATAAGTAGGAGTATAATTTCTAAAGAGCTGTAGAAGGATTATTTAGTTTATAGCGTATGGTTTCCTGACAAATTGCCTATTTTATGATCTGTTTATTTTGCTTCTTGCATCTGACTTGATTAAATCACTCAATGGTTGAACAAAAATCGGTTTTATCTCTTGCCTTACTGAGATAAAAATAAATAAGGCGATGGCCTGGTGATATTATAATTGGACTGTTAATCCAGAGATCCAGGTAATGTTCTGGGGACATGGGCTTGAATCCTGCCATGGCAAATGGTGGAATTTGAAATTTTTTTTCTAAAAAGTCTGGAATTGAGAGTCTAATGATGACCATGAATTAATTGTCAGGAAAAAAAAAAATCTGATTCACTAATGTCCTTTAGGGAGGGGAACTGCCATCCTTACCTGATCTGGCCTACATGTGACTCCAGACCCACAGCAATGTGGTTGACGCTAACTGCCCTCTGGGCGATTAGGGACAAGCAATAAATGCTGGCCTAGCCAGCAACGCCCTCATAATGTAATTTTATTAAAAAAGCCCATTTTTAGCTGGATCATGGATCAGACAGATAGGCCCGATGCAAGCAACAGGGGATGGGATTTTGCAGTGCATGTCCTATGGAGCATATTCCATGGGCTGTGCTCTGTGAAACATATGCTTGTGTGAAGTGTTTGAGTTTTTGGGAGGTGCAACCGTAAGGAACAAAGTGAACCACAACAGCATCTCGACAATCCAACTCAAGAATCCAGTCAACAATTCCAAAGTTACAACCTTGAGAGAGCAGTACCCCAACTGAGTTGAGATAGGGTTGTCTTTTACAAACTACCAAAGGTCAGCTACAAGTTATGATTAATATTAATAAAACCTTGTGCTGCTTACATTATTCCTCTCTTTATTATATCTACAGCTCCAGTGACCACTTTATGTTAATATCATGTACAGCTGTCTCTAAGAGATAAGAAGTCAAGTGTTTACAGATGAAGCTGCCATAAGCCAGCTAACTGGTGATAAGTACATACTATTCAAGTTTCCCAGTCCTCATTCCAGAGAAAACTCCAACTGCTCTTTCTTTCCCAGATTAGGTGTAAACATTTTGTTGGAAAATTCATCATGTATGATAAGGGCCACTTCACTGAATGTCATCTATTACCACAAAAGTTTTTATATAGTCATTTAGACTCAGAGGTGAGTTCTAGATGTCTACAGCGACATTATTTAATTTTTTTTTTCCTTTTTTTATATATCCAGACATGTTATTACACAGACTGAACGTATTTATTCCGACTACCAAATCACTCATTTAACTTTTCACTTGTTATCCACCACTGCTAAATCACTCCTGTTTCCAATGCATCAATTTACCTCCAGAGCTGGATAAGGGCAGTGCAATGAAAGCAGAGGTGGCGAGGAGAGAGAGAGAGGATTAAATCAGAACGGCATTGGAAGAGGGATATAAGGCACTCCAGCCCCTGCTGTACCCACCTCTCTCTCTCAAAGCCTCAAGAGTATTACTGGACACTGCCTACTCCCTCTCCATGGAAACCTGGGCACAAATAAAGCTAAGGTACAGAGGCAGACTGTCTGGAACTAAGACCCTCTCTGTGACCTACTGCCTAGCCCTGTTAATGACCACTTTGGCCTGAGACTTCTTTATACATGACTAAGCCAGTTACTAACTGGCTGTCTGGCCTTTTGATATAATAAAGCTGTGGAATCCCACAGTTCCAAACCCGCCCAAAGTTGGACTGTACAATGCAGAGCATTGTGGAAGTTTTCATGTTGGCTAGGTAACCATTCTTCCCTCTGAGGCAGGAGGCTGTGAGCTCAGGTCTAAGTCCAGGGCTATTGATACTCCTAGTGCTGCACTGCACTGTCAGAAGGATAACGTACTTTCTGTGCCATCAGGCAACTTCCTTCTCATCTGATGTCAAAATGCACATTGTAAGTAAGGTGAGGGTAAAGAAAGAACTTGCACTTATTTCGCACCTTTCGCAACATCAGGATGTCCTGTAGTACCTCAGAACCTATTAAGCACTTTCATGAAGTGGTCTCAATGTTGGAAATGTTTGAAAATGCAGCAATTGTTTGTATGCTGCAAGCTCCCATGAACAACAACAAGAAAATAAACTGTTGTCCTGATGTTGGTTGAAGGGAAGGTGTAAGCTAGGATGGAATAGTACACAGTTTGCACCTTTCACAGCCCCCTCATTGCAGGTGTTCGGAGGAGGACTTTCATAAACTCAGACCCTGTGCTGAGATTGGAGATTGAGGTCGGGGAGGGGGGAGATGCTGTGCTCAGGTGGGTGGAGGAGATGGGCAGAGGGGATACGCAATGCTGAGGTCAGTGGTTGGACCAGGTCAGGAGCAGCAACAGAGCAGCAGGGTTTTCATTTTGGATTTGATTATATGTTACCATGAGCCATGCTGATGGTTGTTAGCAGTTGTTCGTTAGTTCGCTGAGCAGGTTGATCCGTGGTGTGTAGACGTTTCGTTACCATTCCAGGCACCATCATCAGTGCGACTTCTAATCGAAGCATTGGTGTTCTGCTCCGTTCCAAATTTATTTGATCCTGTGGTCTGGTGGGTCTTGTCCCGTCTGGTTCTGTTGTTTCAGCAGCGGTCTGTATACGGGGTCTATTTCTATGTAAAAACCGAAAGAACTGCGGATGCTGTAAATCAGGAACAAAATCAAAGTTGCTGGAAAAGCTCAGCAGGTCTGGCAGCATCTGTGGAGGAGAAAACAGAGTTAACGTTTCAGGTCCGGTGACCCTTCTTCAGAACCCAGTTGGAGCTCTGAGGAAGGGTCACCGGACCCGAAACGTTAACTCTGTCTTTTCCTTCAAATATGGTGCCAGACCTGCTGAGCTTTTCCAGCAACTCTGTATTTGTGTCTATTTGTATGTGTTTGTTAATGGAGTCCCGTGTTGAGAACCAGGCCTCCAGAAATTCCCTTACAGTTCTGGTGTTCGCTTGTCCCAGTATAGTCACTTTGTCCCAGTCAAAACTGATGGCCCTCATTGTCTGAGTGTATCAAGACAAATGAATATTGCCCGTGTCTTTTTACTGCCAGCTGGTGTTCGTGTATCCTGGTCGTCAGCTTCCTCCCCTTTGTCCAATGTAATGTTTATTGCGCTCGCTGCATGGGATTCTGTATATCACGTTAGTCCTGTTTACTGTCAGTATGGGGTCTTTAGTCTTTGATAACATTTGATGCAGTGTTGATGTAGGTTTGTGTGCAATCATGATCCTATGCGGTCTAAGGAGTCTGGTTGTCATTTCACATATATTTTTGATGTAGGGTAGAGTTACTAGCGTCTTATGTTGTACAGTGTCTTCTGGTTGTCATTTGTTTTGTAGGCATCGGCGGACGGAACTTCTTGGGTATCCGTTGTCAGTAAATACTTTGTGCAGGTGTTCCTATTCCATTGTCTGGAGTTCTGGGATGTTGCAGTGTGACATGGCTCATTTAAATAGTGTCTTGATGCAGCTCTGTTTGTGTACGATGGGGTGGTTGCTATTGAAGTTCAGGATTTGGTCCATGTGCGCAGCCTTCCTGTACACACGGGTCTGGAATTCACCGTTAGTTAGTCTCTCTACCATTATGTCCAAGAACGGGAGCTGTTAGTTGTTTTCTTCCTCTGTAGTGAATTTTTTGCTTGCAAAGATGCTGTTAACAAGTTGGTGGGTTTCTCCTACTTCTGTGCATTTGATTATTACGAATGTATCGTCCACGTATCTTGTCCACAGTTTCGGTCGGATTGTGGGAAGGTCTGTGCGTTCCAGTCTCCGAATCGCTGCCTCAGCGATGAGACCTGAGATGGGTGATCCCATCGGTGTGCCGTTGATCTGTTTGCATATCTGGCCGTTGAACGTGAGTGAAGTGTGTTGTGAGGCATAAATCTAGTAGTTTCAGTAAGCTGTCCTTGCTGATGTTGTTGCTGGTATTCAGGGTCAGTGCTCCTGGTCCTTCTAGTAGTGTGGCTAATGTCTCTCTAGCTAAGGGTAGGTCGATGGATGTAAATAATGCTGTAACATTGAAGGGGATAGTGATTTCATCCTCGACAGTTTTTATGTCCCTGAGCTGTGTGAGAAATTCTTGGGCTGAATGGATTGAGTGTGGGAATCTGCTAATCAGGTGTTTAATTTTCCGTTGTAATTCCCTCGCTAGCTTGTGTGTAGGTGTGCCAGGTAAGGAGACTATTGGTCTGAGTGGTATTCCAGGTTTGTGTACCTTGGGGAGACCATAGAAGCGGGTGTTGTTTGAGTCATCTGGTTTCATTCTGATGTGGTTGGCATGAGTGATCTCTCCCGCACATTTTAAGTTTGAGTGTCTGTATTATCCTGTTCTCCAGCTGTGATGTGGGGTCTGACGCCACCTGTTGGTATCTGCGAGTAGTGCCAGTGCTTTCTCGGTGTAGTCTGTTCTGTTCAGAACCACGGTCATTCATCCTTTGTCCGCTGGTAGGATTGTGATGTTTTTTATCCTTCTTCAGTCCTTTTAGGGCCTTTCTCTCCGCTGAAGGTGTCTGATTTGTGTTTACGGTTAAGTGCTGGGTATACCGTTTGTCTGACGGCCTGTTGAATTTCATCAGAGAGTCTGTTGGTTTTCAGTGTTGACTCTAGTGCTGCTAAGATGTCCACTTTACTCACGTCCTTGTGGTTGCAGTTAAGTCCGTGTATCAGTTCGGCTTTTTCTGTGCCTGTGAGTTGTCTGTTGGATAGGTTCCTTACCCATGTGTCTGCCTTGTTCATGTCGTCCTCGTGAATTAGTCCAGTTAGTTTCTCCTGTAGGATTTCCTTGTTCTAGTTCTTTGTTGTTGAGTGTTTATGGCTTGTTCCAGTGTTGTGGTCCACTGGTGGTTGGTCGAGTTCTGGTGCGAAGATTTTTAGCGTGCAATTTCCCGCTGGTATCTGTGGAGGCAGTTGTGGGCATCTGTGACCATTGCCATTGGCATCCTGCAGCCGTTTTGCTCTGCTATTCTTCCTGCTTGTGGCTTGTTTATGCTGCAAGGCAGTACCCGGCTCCTGAGGCATTCATGTAGGAAGTGGAGTTATAAGTTCAGTTCTCAGGGGTACAATGGATGTAGGTGCTAACCCTAAGCAATGATATCACATGGGCTAACAAGGTGTAGAGCTGGATGAACACAGCAGGCCAAGCAGCATCGGAGGAGCAGGAAGGCTGATATCACATGGGCTGCAAGTTTCACATCCCACCTGATATCCAGCTCTGATGCAGTCAATGGGATGGGATAATGGATGGTGCCTAGACTGGACAACTCCCAGCTCAGTGCTAACACCCCCCACAGCTTCCCCCACCCCCATCTCTACCAAGCCACTTGGAGAATTGGCCTTCCAGCTTGCGAATGGGAGAAAGTAAGCAGACCATCGGTCCTGTCTGCTGCTCTCTGGGAATCTAACCAGGGGCTCACCATTTAGCCATAACAAAGGGCTAAACAAACTTTGGTGCCTCACCCTGTGAAAGCAAAGACTGAGAGGTGACCTTACAGAGGTCAGGAGGGATGGATGGGGAGGAAACATTTCCACTTGTGGGGGAAATCCAATGCCAGAAGATTAAGGCAAACTCTAAGAAATCCAAGAGGAGTTCTTTCACAAAGCGAGTGGTTAGTAAGCAAACCTCAGAACCACAAGAAGCTGTCAAGGTGAATATTTATATATATATATTTATGAATGGGAAAGAAGGATAGTCACACAGACAGTGGTGCGTGTATGGAATGAGCTGCCAGAGGAAGTGGTGGAGGCTGGTACAATTGCAACTTTTAAAATACATCTAAAGAGGTATATGAAGGGCTATGGGCCAAATGCTGGCAAATTGGATAAGATGAATCTAGGATATCCAGTTGGCCAAAGGGTCTGTTTTTGTGCTGAATATCTCTATGACTCTATATTACCAGAAAATGACAGGGTAGATCAAGATAAAGTATTTCCACTGGTTGTGGATTCTAGAACTAGAGGCATAGTCTGAGGATTAGGGCCTGACTGCTCAAAGGAGATGTTAGGAAGCACTTCTACACACAAAGGGTGGTAGAGGTTTGGAACTCTCTTCCACAAAAGGCATTGGATGCTGGATCTTGTGTTCATTTTAAATCCAAGGAGATAAATTATTTTAAAGTGAAGTTATTAAGGGGTATGGCCCAAAGGCAGGTATATGGAGTTAGGTTACAGATTAGCCATGAGCTCAAACTGTGTTTCTTTGTTTTTCTACATTTTAGTAAGAAGGACTGTAATGTTTAACTCTATTTTCCTGCTTCGTACCAAGAATCTGTACCTAGTTACCTTTGTACCTAAGATGGCACTGTTAAGTGGTGACTTGTAAACTTTACACTGTGCTTATGTGAGTATATAGATCATAGAATCCCTACAGTGTGGAAACAGGCCATTCGGCCCAACAAGTCCACACCACCCCTCCGAAGAGCATCCCACCCAGACCCATTCCCCTACCACTAGCCCTACATTTCCCTTGTCTAATCCACCTAACCCCTAAACATCCCTGAACACTATACGAGCAATTTAGCATGGCCAATCCCCTTAGCCTGCACGTCTTTGGACTGTGGGAGGAAACCGGAACACCCGGAGGAAACCCACGCAGGCACGGGGAGAATGTGCAAACTCCACACAGACAGTCGCCCGAGGGTGGAATCAAACCCAGGACCCTGGCACTGTGAGGCAACAGTGCTAACCACTGAGGCACCGTGCCACCCAAATGTGACAATAAGCCTAATACAATAATTCAGAGCAGGCTTGAAGGACTGAATGGCCTGCTCCTATGGAATAGCAGTTAATGCTGATGAGATGTATATAAAGTAAAGATGGAATGAGGTTTGTGTGGAGCGTAAGTACTAATATAAACCTTGGGCAATCTAGTCCAGCCTATTCAGTTGGGCTGAATGGCTTGTCTCTATATAAGAATATCTCATTTGATCCTCATCGGCTCGGTTTTTAGGCAAAGTTGGATGGTACTTGGCACCTGGGGGGTGAGCATCCCAGCAGGAACGTGGAAAACCCCACCCCCAATCCAGGGAAAATAATAACTCACTTGAGTGCTTTACAACCACACTGAGTAACTGCAACAGAGAACTGTGGCAGGAATATTCTCTGTTATTTCTCATGTACAAATATTCTAATGGCCTCCGCCCCCATGTGCTTCAATCATTCCAGAAAATGTACGTGGACGAGAAAGGAGAGAAACTGGGCAAGCTGCTGTGCTCTAGACTCATCAAGAAAGGAAACCACAAAGGATACAGCCACTGTATGGTCGAGCTCAGTAAGGTGAAAACTTCCAACAGAAGGCTAAACGTCGACATCTCCTTTAAAGGTTAGATTGTTTTTTAATGCTTTGTATCTGAGATGGCTCATCCCCGTTCTCATCCCAGTGGAATCTAAAACCAAACAGCCCCCAGTCACCCAATTCTAATAGCTCTTCAGAGCTCCCTGCCCCAGATGGATTTGTTCTACACAGACCAGATTCCATCCTGGGATTGCGTTAACTTTTGGATGGAGGGGCTACAGTTCTTGACCTCAGCACAGTGCGTGTACATGCACAAGGGACCTGGCTTTCCTCATATGTGAATTGCAGAAAGTTAAAATACTTTTTAAGACAAGCAACTATGGGAGCGAATGGTATGCTAACCTTTGTTACAGGGGAATTGGATCTTATTATTTGTTCATGGGATATGGGCATCGTTGGCCAGGCCAGTAATTATTGCTCATCCCTAATTGCCCATGAGAAGAAGGTGGTGAACTGCCTCCTTGAAATCTTGAAGTCACCAGTGATGGTAAGTACACCCACAGTGCTATTCGGAAGGAATTCCAGAATTTGGATCTGATGGAAGATTGGAATAGTCTCGCTGCAATTATTACCACAATTGTTGAGGTGTAGTTGCATCTGAAGTACATTGTGTAGTTTTTGTTGCCTTACCTAAAAACAGACACAAATCTCATCCCAGAGAAGGAACGCAACAAAGACTCACCAGATTGGTTCCTGGGATGAGGTGATTGTTGGGAACATGGAGTAGACTAGGCCTATATTCCTGGGGTTTAGCAGAATAAGAGATGACTTGATTGAAGCACACAGTATTCTTAAGACCCGATACTCTGAAAATGTTTCCCCCTAGATGTGGAATCTAGAACATGGAGTCACAATCTCAGAATAAGGAGCTAGCCATTTAGGATTGAAATGATGATAAATTCCTTCACTCAGAGTTCCGAATTCTGGGGACTTGTGGATGTTCAGTCATAAAGCATATTCAAAGAGAGCTTGACAGAGTTTTGAGCACAGAAGTTCACAGAATGGAATCATAGAACCCCTACAGTATGGGAGCAGGCCATTCAACCCATCAAGCCCACACTGACCATCCGAGGAACATCCCACACAGACCCACGCAACCTGCCCCTTCCCTGTAATGCTGCATTTCCCATGGCTAATCCACCTAGCCTGCACATCCCTGGACACTATGGGTAATTTAGCATGGCCAATCCATCTAACATCAAGTTATTGATGGATAACTCAATTTGTTTTCACTTGAAGGTCAGAGGCTGAGGGGTGACCCGATAGAAATTTACAAAATTGTGAGAGGCATGGATAGAACGGAAAGCCAGAGTCTTTTTCCCAAGGTAGAAATGTCAGTTATTTGGGGACATAGGTTTTAGGTGAAAGGAGCCAGGTTTAAAGAAATCAGAGAGGCAAGTTATTTAAACAGATGGTGGTAAGTGCCTGGAATGTGCTGCTAGAGGTGGTGGTGGAAGCAGTTGGAATAGCAATGTTTAAGAGGCATCTTGACAGATATATGAATGGGCGTGGAATAGAGGGATACAGATCACGTAGAGGCAAAAGGTTTTTAGTTGAGAAAGGTATCATGTGTTGGGACAGTCTTGGTGGGCCAAAGGGCCTGTTTCTGTGCTGTACTGTTCTTTGTTCTTTCTTCTAGAGTGGAACAGTGGAGTTAAGGTAAGATGATCTTGTTGAGGAGACCAGAAGAGCCAAAAGGCCTAATCCTGCTCCTATTAACAGTGTTCTCATGTGGAACAATGGAGGAAAGATTGAGAGAAGCTATGAGGGTCTAACTCTTTGACCAAGCTCTAAGTGATATTCTTTTTTCTTGATTCAGTGTTAAATTTTGCTATTAGTGTGAAGTTTAGTATTGCCAGGATTACTCTGTAGTCTCCAAATCAATGCAAACAGCCTGAGAGGCAAATCGTAGTGGATTGAAGAAGTATGTACTTTTTAAAAATGTTCTTTTGAACACTTTGGTTCATTCATATACAAAGATTGGACATGGAGACGAATGTTGTTTGGCTGGTAATGAAGAATCATATAATCTGTTGATGATGAGTTTTTTTTTCACTCCCTGATTGGCTTAAAGAGGGCAGTGCAGCTCAAGGATGGACAACGAGGAGAATCAATGGGGGTGGGGGGGAAGGGGCAGATAGCTATCATGTGATGAAATCTTCAGGATTCGTGTTAAATGTCTCATGGACACTATGTCAGTGTAGCTTTAAGAGACATGCTCATGATAGTATCTCTGTATCACAGCATCTGATCTGAGGGTGTGAAGGTCTCAGTCTCCAGTTTAACTGGGGCCACTTGGAGTTAGACACATTGGTGAAAACATGCTACTCTTTATAGCCGAATACCTTAATATTAACCCAGTCCGGAAGGCATGATGGCCTAGGGGTATTATCACAACACTATTAATCCAGACCCAGGTAATGATCTGGGAACCTGGGCTTGAATCCAATAAAAAACCTGGAATTAAGAGACTGATGTTGACCGTGAAACCATTGCTAATTGTCAAGAAAAACTCATCAGGTTCACTAATCTCACTTAGGGAAGGAAACCTCTCATCCTTACCTGGTCTGGCCTACATGTGATTCAGACTCATAGCAATGTGGTTGAATCCTGGGAGAGTTATGGGTGGGCAATAAATGCTGGCTGAACTAGTGCAGCCCACTTCCTGTGAATAACCTTAAAAAAAAACTGAATGCCTGTGACTGTAATATTTGTAAATATCAGGAGCTGTAATAAATATTGGTTGAATTATCCAGTACCATGTTACCTGCATGGTGAAGATGCAGTGCTCCAAAAGCTTGGGATTTTAAATAAACCTGTTGGACTATAACCTGGTGTCGTGTGACTTCTGACTTGGTATTGAAAGATTCAACAGATGTGTGTTGCAGCTCCTGCTATGTAAATACAATACAGTCAAAGAAATTGTAATGTCTTGATAAAAACCAAAAGAACTGCGGATGCTGTAAATCAGGAACAAAAACAAAGTTGCTGGAAAAACTCAGCAGGTCTGGCAGCATCTGTGGAGGAGAAAACAGAGTTAACGTTTCGGGTCCGGTGACCCTTCCTCAGAACTGATGATGGCTGGGAAAACGTCAGTTTATATGCAGAAAATAGGGAGGTGGGTGGGGTAGGGAATAAATGATAGGATAGAGCCCAAAGAGAGAGAAAGACAGTTGGACAGACAAAGGAGTTGCTAACGATCAGGCTGGGAGGGCGAGTAGTTGTTAATGGGGACTGTTAGTGACTAACAACAGGGGGTGTGTAGTGGCAGGCTATGTGGTAACAAGACCTGGTGTGTGGGGTGGGTGGGCTGGGACATGGGAGAGTTTAGGCCCTAAAATTATTGAACTCAATATTGAGTCCAGAGGGCTGTAGGGTCCCCAAGCCGAAAATGAAGTGTTGTTCCTCCAGCTTGCGTTGGGCTTCGCTGGAACACTGTAGCAAGCCGGAGACAGAGATGTTGGCCAGGGAACAGGGTGGTGCATTGAAGTGGCAGGCAACAGGTAGATCAGGGTCTTTTTTGCGAGCAGAACGTAGATGTTCTGCGAAGCGATCACCAAGTCTACACTTCGATTCCCCAACGCAGAGGAGACCACATTGTGAGCAGCGAATGCAGTAGACTAGATTCTTGGAAGTGCAGGTGAAGTGTTGCTTCATGTGGAAGGTATGTTTGGGCCCTTGGATACTGAGGAGGGAGGAGGTAAATGCTCAGGTGTTGCACCTTTGCCGGTTGTAATGTCTTGAGATGTTTTACTGTGTCAAAGGTGTTACAATCAATACAGGGTAACTGTTGTAAACTGACTGGGAAAAGACAGGTTTAGAAATCTATTCTACCTGAATCGACTGAGCACGAAGAGAGCGTAGAAGTTCCTCAGTGCATAACCCTTGATCAAACTGGATTCTGAACCTCACCACAATCAAGATCATAGCTGTTGTTAATCTCTAAAATGTTTTCTCTTCCTTCACAGTGGATACAAATGATGTTAAAAGTGTTCTGAGTGAAACAAAGAAAGAACTGAAAGAGGTAATTTTCAGTATTCGTACATCTCCTATTTCTTTGCAATGTGCAATGTTTAGACTGATTCCCTTAATAATTCAGAAATGTAGACAGTGGAAAATCAAAGGTGAAGGAAAAGCTGTTAATTACATTCCTTCCAGGATTGCCTCATCACTCTCGGATATATTCCACCTCCTCATGGTTGTTCTCCACCTCACTATTTTAATGGAGCCAGCTTTTAAAAGCATTGCACCTTTTCCCTTTAAAGGATAGAAATCTGTTTCAGACAACATGTACAAATCTGTATCCCCAATTCTCTGTGCATTTTGATAACATTTTGTTGGACATACCACAGGTCCATACACAATCATTATAGCCTTGCAGTCTAGCTTCGGTCTACAGCTTGCTATCTGTCATCATGGATTGATGAATATCATTTGTCATATATATGTGGTTGTTATCTGGCATAATATATTCATCCTGTGTGATGCATCGTTGATGAAATGCAATTTGGATAGATTGTCTGTTTCTTCACAGGACTTGACCATTGCTGACTATAGTGCCATATGACCTAGGCTGGATAAAATAACATAGCTCCTATCCAGGCACCCATATGTTTGTGTGAAAATCTCAGATTCCTACGTTTTATCCTGATCCAAATTGGCATAACTGCTTGATTTTCCCTCTTCATTCCAACGATGTGTCATGTCCATGTGTTTTGGTGATGAGAGTATGGAAGGGAATCTGTCGCCCAAACATAAGAGCTACTAGTGAGGGCAAACCTGGACAAGTAGCACATAGATTTAACATAGCAATCCAAAAAAAAAGTTGGCAAAACACTTTAGCTTTAATGATCATAGATTTTACCGTATGAATAATGCATTCTGTGAGACCGTTCAATGGAGCGTAGTGAAGAGAAAAGATGGTATATTGAACACTCCATTTCCTGCATGTCTTTGTAGGGTGCACCAGTGTACTGCAAACTATTGTCGGACATAATTTGTTGAGGAACACCAAATATACTGGAATATGGCAGTCAATAGGCAAACAACTTTTTTTATTATTCACTCATGGGATGTGGGCGTCACCGGCTGAGCCAGCATTTCTTGCCCATCCCTAGTTCCCCTTGAGAAAGTGGGGGTGAGCTGCCTTCTTGAATTGCTACAGTCCTCCTGCTGTAGGTTGAGCCAGAATGCCCTTAGCAGTGCCCCACTGATATCTTTAATTTGTCATCCTAAAGAAAATTTAGTGAAATAGTCACTCATCCACTCTAAAAAAGCAATATGGGGACAGACTATGAAATATGAGGGTAAGCTAGCTCGTAACGTAAAAGAAGATTGCATGATTTCTTTTTTAGATATGTGAAAGGTAAGAGTGGGCATTGCATCGCTGGAAAATGGGGCTGGAGAAGTAATGATGTGGGCCAAAGAAATGGCGGAGGAACTGAATGGGTACTTTTCATCAGTCTTCATTGTGGAAGGCACCAGCAGCATACCAGAACTTCGAGAGTTAGGGGACAGATGTGAACGGAGTAGAGAAGGTGCTGGGGAAGCTGAAAGATGTAAAGGTGGATGAAGCACCTGGACAAGATGGATCACATCTCAGATTTCTGAAGGAGATAGCTGAGGAGATTGTAGAGACATTGGTGGTGATCTTCCAGGAATCACTGGAGTTAGGGAGAGTCCCAGAGTTCTGGAAAACGGCTAATTTAACACCCCTGTTTAAAGGAGAGAGAGGCAGAAGACAGGAAACTATGGCCAATTAGCCAGACTTTGGTGATTGGTACGATTTTCAGTACGATTATTAAGGATGAGATTGCTGAGTACTTGGTAAATGCATGATAAAATAGGGCTGAGTCAGCACGGCTTCATCAAGGGGAGGTCATGCCTGACAAATCTGTTGTAATTCTCTGAGGAAGTGACAAGCAAGTTAGACAAAGGAGAACCAGTGGACATGATCTATTTGGATTTCCAGAAAGACTTTGATGAGGTGTTGCGTAGGAGGCTGTGAATAAGATAAGAGCCCACACTGTTGGGGCAAGGTAGTGGCATGGATAAAGGATTGGCTGACTGACAGAGACAGAAAGTGAGGATAAAGGGGTCTTTTTGAGGACGAGTGGAGTTCTGCGTGTCTCCTTGTTAGGACCACAACTATTCATGTTATACATTAACAATCTGGACAAAGGAAGTGAGGGCATCGTTACAAAGTTTGCAGGTAGAGGGACAGGTAGTGTTGAGGAGGTGTGGAGGCTGCAGAAGAATTTGGATAGGCTTGGACAGTGAGCAAAAAAGTGCCAGATGAATTACAATGTGGGAAAGTGTGAGCTTATGAGTTTTGTAGGAAGAAGACTTCGTAAAGCTGAAGCACGATGGGACTTAGAAGTCCTAGTTCAGAATTCTCTTGAGGTGAACATGCAGGTTCAGTTGGCAGTGCAATGTAATGTAATGCAATGTGAGCATTCATTTTGAGTGGACTAGAAGACAAATGTAGGAATGTAGTGCTGAGGCTGACAATGGTCTGGTCAGTTTCGGGACGCGTATCTAAGGAAGGGTATGCTGATGTCGGACTGGATCCAGAGCAGGTTTACAAGAATGATCCCAGGGATGAAGGGTTTGTGATATGAGGAGCGCTCAGGGACTCTGGGTCTGTACTCGATGGAGTTTAGAAGGATGACAAAGGGATCTGATTAAAACTTACAGAATACCGAGGGGCCTGAGGTGCTGGAGTGGACATGGAGAAGATGTTTCCACCAGTCGGAGAGACTGGGACCCGAGGGCACAGCCTCAGGTTGAAGGGACAGCCCTTCAGAACTGAAATGAGGAGGAATTTTTTCAGCCAGAGAGTGGCGAATCTGTGGAACTCATTGTCGTAGAGGGCTGTATAGTCATTGAGTTTATTTAAGACAGAGATAGCTAGGTTCTTGCTTAGTGATAGGATCAAGGGCTATGGGGAGAAGTCAGTAGAATAGGGTTGAAAAACATATCAGCCATAATCAAATGGTGGCGCAGATCTGATGGGCTGAATGGCCTAATCCATACATGTCATTTTAACTGCTGTGGCATAAAAGCTGGTGGCAGCAGCCAGATCATTGCTGGCTTTGTGACCTGTGGATAAGGGGGGAGCAGGATCATTTCTTCCACCCTCAGAAGGGAACATGTACTTTCTACTTCCACGTCTCATTACATGGTACCCCTTTTTCCTGCAGCATTATCACTTCCATGCAGTTCTTTTATGATGATATCACTGCCATTGTCTGGATCATTAGTTCAAAATAAGCAGTTTCAAAGTCTGGGCCACAGACTGTGTAAAAGCCTCTCCATTATTTACAATATACCTAACAGTGGCTCTTCCCTTCTTCAACTTTGTGTCATATCAAGTGCCACATTGATAGAAAACTCTTTAACCTCACTCGCCTCATGTCGAAACCAAACTAACCTCCGTTGACATACACGGTCTACAGTTTGCAGATACCTGCAGCGCCTTTCCCACTCTGCACCACATTTGCAATCCATTCTTGACCTCTCCAATTCAGAAAGCAAGAAACTCAGCCTGTCCTTGAACGTTGCTGAAAGGAAACTCCTATCAGCCAACACGAGGTAGGCCAAATACTCCTCTTCTGATGTATGTCGAAGGAGAGTCTGTCAAATTCGTTGAGCACTTCCTTAAACCACCTTCCCCAAATGGACACCAATGATGAAGAGATCCAACACTGGATCAACTGCACTCACCTCCTGCAATCTAGAGCAGTAAGTCTTTGATAACAAAGACTTCTGAAAAGTTCTCATTGTCAGAGCACTTGGTTGTCATCACACTCCTGTACGGTAATAAGATCTGGATTGTGTATTGGTAACACATAACAGCATGAGAGAAATTCCACTAGCAATGCTCCTGCCACATTCTGTGATACATTGGGAGGATGATCAAAAAAGATGCCAGCGTCCTCCTCGTAGCCAGCTCTACCAGCATCCGGTCAAAACACCTCAAAAATCACCTTCATTGGTTTTGGACACTGTCTGAATGGCCAAAAACCATCTTTCCCATCAGGACCTGTCTTCTCAATTTTCAAATGGTCAACGATCCAGGAGAGGACAATTAAAATTCTTTAAATCGACCCTGAAAGCTCTCTTTGAAGCTTAGCAACAGCGATGTTCGTGAGAGGGAGGGGATTGCCAGCAATTGAAAAAATGGCGACAACTTAGCCATCAAGTTCCATGATGCTTGGAGTCACAACAGCTTAATGTCAAGGGTGGACGGTGACAGAGGGGCAAGGAAAAGAAAGCAAACACTTCCCCCCCCCCCCCCGAATCCCAATACTTGGAGGGACATCCTTCCCTGTGTATTCAGAGATCTGTAGGTTGAGCATCAGCCTGCTCAGTCACATGTCTGAAAGTCACAGCCCTCAGGATCCGTCATCCTCAAACTGAGATGACTTCTGTCGTCACTCCTGCCCATCACGTTAGAAGGAGAACTCTACCCCTTTCAGAGATAGTGGGAACTACCGATGCTGGAGAATCTGAGATAACAAGGTGTAGAGCTGGATGAACACAGCAGGCCAGGCAGCATCAGAGGAGCAGGAAAGCTGACGTTTC